TCTTCTTCTTCTTCTTCTTCTTCTTCTTCTTCTTCTTCTTCTTCTTCCTCCTCCTCCTCCTCCTCTTCCTCTTCCTCTTCCTCTTCCTCTTCCTCCTCCACAACTCTTGACGAATGTCTCTTTTCTTTTATGTACACCGAGAACATTTGCACCAAGACAAATTCCTTGTGTGTCCAATCACACTTGGCCAATAAAAGAATTCTAATTCTAATCATCAGAACAATTTTTAGCAGAAGGTTGAAAGGTGGACAAATTCTTAGATGAAACAAAGCAGGATGGGATACTTATATTTTTCTTATATTTTGAGATGCAAAGCTTTGAGCAGGGATTTTTTTTACATAAGAGATTTGTCTGGAAGTTCCCTGTCCATATTTATGCAATAGTTTTGTACCATACATTGTTTAAAATGAAGGAAACTGATCGATCTGTAATATAATTGGGCTCCAGCTACCAGCCCTGGATGACATCTTCGCATCTCGCTGTTTGAGGAAGATGCACAACACTCTCAGAGACTCTTCCCATCCTGCTCACAATCTTTCTGAAGCTGTTGCCTTCTGGCAGAAGATATACAACCATTAAAACTCGGACCACACGTTTTCTGAACAGTTTTTATCCCAGAGCTATAACTGCACTTTGCAATGAACTTAAGGACCACCGTCAGTGAGCTGTTGGACAGGATTACTTGGTCTGTTGTGTGGATGCTTGTGTGTTTTTAGGGGGTGGGGAATTTTGGCAGGTGGGGAGGTGTTTGGGGATTGTCATGTGTGTGTGTGCATGTTGAGTCTGGTCTCTGGATGTTATGTGAATTTTGTTGTATGTGTATACTGTGTATATACATACGACAATAAAGAATTCAATAATACCTTTATCATTGAGTTCCTGCATTGATCAAGTTGCACTAAGAGAAAAAATATCAACATTGAAAAACTTGCTGAAGTCTTAGTCCCATGATTTGAACTTTCCATTCTTTTCCTTCGTACTGTACATTTTTATCCCGGAAAACTAACTGTATTTCCTAGGAATTCATGTCTGCAAGTACCAAAAAGCTTAAAACCGCAGAATTAAAATCTGATTTCATCTTTTTTTTTTTTTGCTTTTTTTTTTAAAAAAGGAGGTATCGTAAGCATTGGGGATCCCAAGAAGAAATATACCAGTTTTGAGAAGATTGGACAAGGGTAAGTCTTGAATTGTGAGCGGCTGCTTCTTCGGGTCAGGTAGTCCTCCACTTACAACAGGTCATTTAGTGACCGTTCAAAGCTACAACGGCACTGAAAAAAAGCGACTTGATTCCCTTTTGCGACCTTGGGACAAGCAAAGTCAATGGGGGGAAATTGGACTCACTTAACAACCGGATTACTAACTTAACAATCACAGTGATTCACTTTACAACTGTGGCAAGGAAGGTTGTAAAATGGGGCAAAGCTCCCTTAACAACTGCCTTGCTTAGCAACAGAAATTTTGGGCTCGATTGTGGTCATAAGTTGAGGACTTACCTGTATTTAAGGGTTGAAATGGAATTATTTGAAATACTCTTATTGCTCAGTAAATTAGCTACTGTAATTCCTTCAATTACTTTTCTTTCTGTAATATTAATGACCGAGTAGCAGATTATAGTTGTGACTTATTTTCTAAAAGCAAGAGAATCTCAGGGTTGTTACTCACATTTCATGGGTGACTGATAGTGTGGTAACTTGGAATGGACGCTAAAGGAATGGCTATATGTCAAGGACTACCTGTCATCATCATCTTTTAACGACCCCATAATCCCTTGTGGGGGTGGCGTCTGGGCAACTGAAGGGAACTAGCAGAGTGTTTGAATGGCCGGATGCCCTTCCTGTCACCAGAGCGGAGTTTTGTTCCGCAGATATATTCTCATTGTGACCAGAGAGAGAGAGAAATATCTGCCTCTACCTGGGATCGAACTCACAGCCTCCTGATTGTGGGGCAAAAGCTCCACCTCTAGCCACTGCATCACTCCTTGTCCAGGACTATCTGTAATTTTTCAAATGTGGACACTTTAAATCAGAACTGTGCTTTTCCTGTAGAAATTTGCTGCCTCAGACTTGAGTGAAACCATGGAGATTTTGCTTCCAAATTTTTGTATTGTTCCAAGTGGCTGTTTCTGTGGGATTTGGGAGCCGATCTTTGGAATTTGCGCATAATAGAGCCCGTATCGGTTTCGCGGGGTTTTTCCACTTGCCAAGAACCAATTTCCATGGCCGAATAGACAGTTAGGTCACCGAGACAAAAGGCATCTAAGCAGGTGGGAATCAAATTTTGTCATGCAGCCAGTTTTATTGTCCCTTGTCACACGGTCACATAAACGCTGCATATACCCGCAAATAAACCTACGGGGGGCTGGCGAGGAAGGAAAATAAAGAAGGAAGAGTTGAAATGGGGGGGAGGAATGAGAGTTGGCCTTAATTGCACTGAGCTAATTTCAATCCATAGAAGTCCTGCAAACTGCTCAGCTGATGTCTTATTAGAGTTTTATCTTGCCTTTTATCTCTGTATATAAAAGCGAAATACCCCTCACGCATCATCACAAAATCTGCAGAACCGTAAAGCCTGCAAACTTTGAAAATTGGCACGTAGGTTCCTCTCGGCTTCTAGGTGCTCACTAAGAAAGGATTCTTCGAAATGACCATCAGAGCATTAGTATTTCCTATATTATTATTATTAACATGCTCTGATGCTAAGGAGTTCTACTCCCCCTCCTCACCTGGAAAGAAATCTGTTCCAAATGCAAAACACAAGCAGAGGAGAGGAGTTTCAGTTTCACAGCACCAAGCAGCTTTAGTACAGAACAGTTGAGCTAAGCCATGCCCAGGCTCCTTGCTGTCTCCTTGCTCACACAGCAAATACTCTTTCAGTTTCCAAACAGCCCTCAACTCTCTCACACACTGACAGGACGCTAGCCAGATGAATACTGATGGATGCTGGTAGGCAGAGGCACAATTTTCCCCCCTTATTTTCCTCCCCAAAAACTAAGCCCCACCGCATAGTTTTGTAGCGAAGCGCGGGTATCGAGCTAGTAACTTGAGGCAGAGAACATGTTTAATGTTATTTCCTCCTCCGATTTTTCCCCACAACAACAACAAGCCTGTGAGGTGGCTTTGTCTGAGAGAGAAGGAATCCGTTTTTTAACAATCGATTTGTCTTCTCTGTTTTGTTTTTCAGGGCTTCGGGTACGGTATACACCGCGATGGACGTAGCAACGGCACAAGAGGTAAAGGCTTCGGCAGGTGTGAGGTGGGGTGGAAAGGAACCGGAGGGGGATTGGAGGCCAAAACATACAAAGAATGGTTGCAGGAACTGGGTGTGTCTTGTTCAATGAAAAGGAGGACTAGGGGTGACACGGTAGCATCTTCCAATATTTGAGGGGCTGCCACAAGGAAGAGTGGGGTCAAACTGTTTTCCAAAGGACCTGAAAATAGAAACACTGGATGGAAACTCATCAAGGAGAGAAGCAACCTAGAACTAAGGAGGAATTTCCTGACAACGAGAACGATTAACCCGTGGAACAACTTGCCACCAGAAGTTGTTGGTGCGTCATCACTGGAGGTTTTCAAGAAGAGATTGGACAGCCATTTGTCTGGAATGGTATAGGGCAAGAGTCTCCAAACTTGACAGCTTTAAGACTTTTGGACTTCCAACTGCCAGCATTCCTCCTCCAGTCAGGTTAGCTCAGGAATTCTGGGGGTTGAAGTCCACAAGTCTTAAATTTGCCAAGATGGAAGACCCTTGGATTAGATGGATGGATGGATGGATGGATAGATATAGAGATAGATAGATAGATAGATAGATAGATAGATAGATAGATAGATAGATAGATAGATAGATAGATAGATAGATAGATAGATAGATAGATAGATAGATAGATATAGACAGATTAGGTAAATAGAGATAGATGGATGGATGGATGGATGGATAGATAGATAGATAGATAGATAGATAGATAGATAGATAGATAGATAGATAGATGATAGATAGATAGATAGATAGATAGATAGATAGATAGATAGATAGATAGATAGATAGATATACAGTAGATATAGATATAGACAGACTAGATAGATAGAGAGATGGAGATGGAGATAGAAGATAGATACTGTTCAAGGGTCTTCAAACTTGACAGCTTCAAGACTTGTGGACTTCAACTCCCAGGATTCCTGCTCCAGTCAGGTTAGCTCAGGAATTCTGGGAGTTGAAGTCCACAAGTCTTAAAGCTGTCAAGTTTGAAGACTCTTGAGATAGGGCATTCCTGCTTGAGCAGAGGGTTGGACTAGAAGCCCTCCAAGGTCATAGATGTCATTCTTACAATCCATGCAGTCGCTTAACGATAGTAATGGGGAGAACAAGGATTATGGTCCTTAAATGAGGTGATCGCATGGACGCCTTGTTTTTCAACCCATGCAGTCTCCTTTAGTGACAGCAATGGGGAGGGCAGAGATTACTGTCATTAAACGAGGTGATCACATGGACGCTTCGCTTAACAACTAGCACAACTTATCACCATAATAAACAGGCTCTATTTTTTTCCGTAAATCGAGGACTGCCTGTAATTTCTAGTATCTTCTACCATTGTGCCTCTCGCAACCAAACTGATGGATTCTACTTCCCCTCCTCTTTCCAAATTCCAGGTTGCCATCAAACAGATGAATTTGCAGCAGCAGCCTAAGAAAGAGCTGATTATCAATGAAATTCTTGTCATGAGGGAAAACAAGAACCCCAACATTGTCAACTACCTGGACAGGTAGCTGTAATTTAAGATATGGGGGCAGGGCGTCTTCGTTTTACGCAGCCGCTTTGATTGACCTCGATGTTGTTTCTTCGCTGCCCCAAAGATGGATGGGAGTGTGGGGGTGAGAAGACCAAAATGTTTGCCCCTCATTTTCCCCTTAAAAAAATCATTACTTAAAACAAGGATGCTGAGCAGTGTTTAATTTATGTAATTCTGTGCTGTCTTGGCCCTCTTATGGACTTCCCTGCTGTGCCAAATCTGCTGTTTTTTCCTGTCCTTGGGAGAAAAAATATATATCAAACAGATGGATTCCACTGTGGAAATGATGCAGTCAGATGATTGGGATTAAACCGTTCTCCCTTTGGTTTTCCCTTCCCTCTGTTTGCTCCTTCCTCTCCTTGTTTTTGTGTTTATTTGTGGAGTTCAATCTTTTTTTATTTTTTAAATCCTTTTTAAAAACAGATCTTTGCAAGTGGCTCGGGGTACAGTATCTGTTGCCATGGTGTCGTAGGCAGCAGCCAAAACATCTCCTGGAGAGATATAATTCTTAATTATGAAATACACAGGGAGCCATTTTATTCATTCATTTAATGGGTTTAAATTCATCAAGCTATCACTGACTGAAACACCTTTCTCTGATCAACTCTTAAAATAATTGTGGACTGCTTACCAAAGGGAGAAACATCTTTATTCAGGTACTTAGCAAATGGCTCATATTGATCAATTGCGAACCAAAACTGAGCCCAGAATTTCTGTTGCTAAGGGGGACAGTTATTAAGTGAACTTTGCCTCATTGTGCGACCTTTCCTGCCACCGTTGTTAAGCGAATCAGTGCAGTTCAGTTAGTAAACATGTAGTAACCTAAACCGGCTTTTTTTTAGAGGTTGAGTAGCAATTGCAAATAAGTCAGTGAAATTGGGCAGGGATTTTATCAGGATGCCTTGAATACAGGTAATCCTCAACTTATGACCACAATGGAGCCCAAATTTATGTTGCTAAAGCAAGGCATTTATTGAACTTTGGCCTATCTGCAGTCTGAATCACTGCAGTTGTTAAGCAAGTAACACGGTTGTTCAATGATCCGGCCTCCCCACGGGCTTTGCTTGTCAGGAGGTTACATAAGTGTGGGGCTTGCATGACCCTGGGGACTCCGCACCTGACCTTGGGGATGCTGCAACGGTCATAAGTGTAAAAAAATGGCCATAAGTCTGCTTTTTCAGGGCTGTTGCAACTTTGAACGGTCACTAAACAAATTGTTGTAAGTCAAGGATTACCTGTAAATAAAGAATACCCCTCATGCATCATCACAAAATCTGCAGAACCGTAAAGCCTACAAACTTGAAATTTGGCCCGTATGTTCCTCTTGGCGTCTAGGTGCTCACTAAGAAAGGATTCTTCGAAATGACCATCAGAGCCTTAATATTTCCTATATTATTATTATTAACAGGCTCTGATGCTAAGGAGTTCTACTCCCCCTCCCCACCTGGAAAGAAATCTGTTCCCAATGCAAAACACAAGCAGAGGAGAGGAGTTTCAGTTTCACAGCACCAAGCGGCTTTAGTACAGAACAGTTAAGCTAAGCCACGCCCAGGCTCCTTGCTGTCTCTTTCTTGCTCACACAGCAAATACTCTTTCAGTTTCCAAACAGCCCTCAACTCTCTCACACACTGACAGTATCCTAGCCAGATGAATACCGATGGAGGCTGGTAGGCAGAGGCACAATTTTTCCCCCTTATTTTCCTCCCCAAAAACTAAGCCCCACCACATAGTTTCGTAGCGATGCACGGGTACCGAGCTAGTAATACATTTAAACCACCAAAAAAAAAAAAAAACTCAAAGGGCAAACTCAATACATTATTGATCTTTTTTCTGCCCGTTCCCTTTTCTATGTTTCTACCTATGGAATTTATGGCGAGAATTTAAGGATTGGGGAACCTTTGACTATTATTAAGTGTTGTACCTGATGATTCTTGACGAACGTATCTTTTCTTTTATGTACACCGAGAGCATTTGCACCGAGACAAATTCCTTGTGTGCCCAGTCACACTTGGCCAATAAAAGAATGTTTCTATTTTGTTCTTTAAAATAAGAAAGCTACGACCTCTACATTTCCCTTGGTGGGAGATGAGGTAGGTGAGATGAGAAGTGAGGAAAGTGTGACCTTCAAGCATTTTGTGAGGGGAAAACAGGTGGGGAAACTTCTGGAGGTGAGATGAAACCTGTGAATTACATGCTCAGAAGTGAGCGATGTGAGACCTCTGGCAATTTATGGTGAGGAGCAAGAACTAGGTCTTAAAACTTCTCTTCAAACCTCTTCAAACTTCTCTGTTTGGCTGTTGAAGGTGGTCTCCTATGGATTGTCAACTCTAATGAAGAGAAGGACCAGGAGAGTGATGATAGCAGTCTTCCAATATTTGAGGGGCTGCCACAAAGAAGAGGGGAGGTCAAATTATTCTTCAAAGTACCTGAGAGTAGGCCAAGAATCAACGGATGGAAACTAAGGAGAGAACAAGAGATTCAACCTGGAAATAAGCATAGATTGAGAACCATCAACCCATGGAACAAGAAGTTGCCCTCAGAAGTGGTGGGAGCTTCATCCCTGGAAGCTTTCAAGAAGAGACTTGTGAGAAATGGTGTAGGATCTGCTTGGGTGGGGTGGGGGTTAGACTAGATGACCTACAAGGCCCCTTCCAACTCTGTTAATCTAATCTAATCAAGGAGAGATCCAACAAAAAAAATAAAATAAGAAATTTCCTTTCAGTGAGAACAATTATTCAGTGGAAGAGGTTACTTCAGGGATACCATCACTGGAGGTTTTTAAGAAGAGGTTGGGCAGCCTTTTGCCTGAAATGGCAGAAGAGGGTTGGACTAGAAGACCTCCAAGTTCCCTTCCTCCAGATTTTCTGCAAAGGTGGGACCATTGGGAACTTGTTCTTCAAGCTGCTCTACAAAAGGAGAGGCCTTGTTCTTGGAGTCCTTGGTGCTCTCTGACCTGGGTTGTTTTCCGGCCGACGTTTCATGACCCAGCTAAGTAACAACATCAGTGCGCTGTAGAGTGTTGGCTCATGAAACGCGATGGCAGGATTATTTGTCCAATTCTGGAATAGAGTTGTCAGAATTAAGATTTTTTTTTTTTAACTCCGGAGTCTTTTGGGAAATGTCATCTCTCTAAAACTGGAAATCAAAACCGAGATTTGGTCCCTTGTGCTGTGTTTGCAGTGTGGTTTTTGTGGCTTTCTTTTGACCACAGCTTGCTCTGTTTTTTAAACATTGCTGCCTAGGTCGGTTTGGCAATAGGTGTGCTTGTGCATTTGTCTGGCCCTTGTGACGCCTGCGGTTTCTTCCGTTCACTGCAGTTACCTGGTGGGAGATGAGCTGTGGGTTGTCATGGAGTATTTGGCTGGCGGCTCGTTGACAGACGTGGTAACGGAGACCTGCATGGATGAAGGACAGATAGCTGCGGTGTGCCGGGAGGTGAGAATTTTTTAATGATGGCTAGAGATAATAATCTGTGTTTTGAGTTGCGGTTCCAGAGAAATTTCTTTCCCAGATTCCTCACAATGCCTCCCACAATGGCAGAGCTTCTAATGGACTGGAAAAGTTATCCAAAAATTCAGGGAGATAGATATTCAGGGATGTGCTTGTCC